GTCACAAAAGTCTCTGGACAGAGGAGCTTACCCTCTAATGCCCCCCCCACAGTCACATCAGTCTCTGTACAGAGGAGCTTACACTCTAATGCCCCCCCACAGTCACATCAGTCTCTGTACAGAGGAGCTTACACTCTAATGCCCAATGACAATCACACAGCTGGAAAGTCCAGGTAGAACACCCCAGCATGTAGCATTCTGGTTTGCTGGCAGGGATTGAGCCCGGGACCCCCGGTGCTACATTATAACTTTGATTCATAAGACTCAGCATGCCCCCATCTCCCCCCTCCCCCCATCATACCGTATGACCTCCTGCACCAGCACGGTGTTCATGGACTCCTGGTACATGACGGGGTATTTTGCCATCACTTCCTGCACAGGGATGAGCGCTGGAACCTTCTTCAGGATCCCCTCAGCGATTTCCTCCACCATCTACAGGAAATGACTCATCAGTGACCGTTCAGACGAGACATCGGCGCCACGGATACCAAAAACCACGCTCACCTCATCGCGGCTCCCCCCAGCGCTCTGCGCCCGCGGCTGCAGCCTCACCAGGGACCCCAGGAGGGCGAAGCTCTCGTTCTGCGCGAATGTGATGTTGGCGTTCTCGTGGAGGCCGAAGAGTTCTGTCAGATCGTTGAGTGGGAGGGCGCGGATGTACTGCAGGTAACCCTGGAAACAGACGTAGGAATGATCAGAGCTCCTCCCATGAGGACCGGGGGTGATCCGCCAATCACAGGCCAGACACCCAAAATTATAGTCTATACGAAGCCAAAACTTGTCTTTATATTGTTGGATAAAGTATGTAATGGGCAAAACCCCCAACATTGTGTCCCATTGAGGAAATTACCTTTCACTTCCTGTCCCAGGAGCACAACAGGAAGTGTGAAGATATCCCTCCAAAGCTCCAAAGTGAAGGAAAAATTAAATGTCTCATGATTCCCGATTCATGAGAGATTTCTTTCATGAACCTTTCATCATATTAGACATCCGCTCATCCCGATGAAGAGAACCTTGCCCATGAAACGCGTTGATATAAACTCCGGCTATGTCATGTGACAATAGAATTAAAGAGGGACAAATCCTATACATGTGACTGGATTCTATGCTGGAATATCAGTAATCTGGGGGGGGGGGGGGGGGGGGGGGGTTTAAAAAAAAAGGGGGGGGGGGGGGGGGTGGGGAACTTTACACCAGTTGGGAATGACGATGGCCAAATATACTGGAACGGCTCTCTGCAGTTTGGAATAAATGGCTCTATAATAGGCTGTACTTGTACGAGGGATGCACCGATACCGATACCGATACCAGTATCAGTATCGGTGCCGAGTATTTAGGCAAGTACTTGTACTCGCCCAAATACTCCGATGGCTAGCCCGATACCCGAGCTTCCGGGATCAGGAAGCCGAGCAGCGAGTCATTACATGCTGCCCGGCTTCCTGATTGGCTGGGCAGCCAGCTCCATGCTCCCTCGTGACGGCCAATCAGGAAGCCGGGCGGCAAGTCATTACACGCCCCACGGCTTTACATGCTGCCCGGCTTCCCGATTGGCCGGGTAGCCGGCTCCATACTCCCTCGTCACGTCGCTGCCCGGCTTCCTGGTTGGTCAGGAAGTTGGCCAATCAGGGAGGCGGGTATTGACGTTTCGCCCAGCTTTCTGATTGGCCGGGAAGCTGGCTTTGTGACGAGGGAGCATGGAGCCCGCTTCCCGGCCGATCGGGAAGCCGGGCACCACCTCAGAGAGCCGGCTCCATGCTTTCTCGCTGGTAATCGGGAAGCCGGGTGGCGAGTCTTCACATGCCGTCAGGCTTCCTTAATGGGACTTCCGGTATCGGTATTCGGTATCGGTGAGTATCGTAGAAAAAAAAATATCGGTACTCGTACTCGATACCCAAAAAACCGGCATCGGTGCATCAATAATTTGTACTATACACCAGCGATTCTGGATGTGCATCTGGCTGATGGGGGTGGAATGATTTGCATGGCTCCGCCCACTGTCTATAATGAGGAATATTCCTCTTATTTTTGGTGTATGGGATGGAATGGGTCATGTGACTATCTTCTAGGAAGACTTTACTGTGCTCCGCACTCATTGGCTTGGAGGGCTTTTTGATCCCTTGACCTCTACGGTTACACTGACACAAACGTGGAATCCAGGGATCACAATCTTTAGAGGGGACCAGAAATTCCGGCTCACATTCAGGTCGTAGGTCGGGCTGATCTGATGGTAAACTCCCGACACCGAGAACCTGTGACCGTCCTCCAGCACCGGCGGCTGGTAAAAGTCCTGTAGGATGCTGAGGAGGCATCGTCTGTCCCAGTCGTCGGTGACGCGCCCACCGTAATTAATCTCGCCGGCCGTGTAACGCAGGACCTGCCGCACAGAACACAAACAGTTACCTCTGCACATTGCTGATCGGAGAGGCCTAGAGAGACACGGCGGCCCCCCTCGTTCCCCGGCTCACCTTGTATGGGATGTCGGCGTACTCGTCCAGAAACATCCGCAGCTGAGAGATGCAGATCCGGAGATCTCCGTCGGTGAATTCGTAGGGGATATTAAATCCCAGCGGGCCAAACTTCCGTCGTTCAAGAGTGCTGCCGTGGAACAGACAAAGAGACAGCAGGAGGGCCTTGTGCTCCGGGGCCTGTAGGGGGGAGGAGCATGGTCAGAGGAACGGTAGGAGGCGGTACATAAATAATACACGGAATGTTAGCATAAGAACATTCTCTGAATCTAGACTTGTGTGTTCTGGACCTGCCAGGTGAAGATCCGGAATTTGGACTTTTGTATTCTGGACCTGCCAAGAATATCTTGAAAGGTATCTTTATTATGATTGAGATGTTCTTGATCCTAGAGAAACTTAAACTCAGTACTGATATTTTAGTGTTTGGTGGATGAGAGGAAGTTTATGCTATTTCTCGGGGACCCTATTGGTGGCAGCTGTACCCTGAGTTCATTGGAAGGGAGGAAGGAAGTTCTTGAGTTTGTTGGAAGGAAGGAAGGAAGGAAGGAGGAGGAATGGGAAGCAAGGAAGGAAGGAGGAATGGGAAGCAAGGAGGAATGGGAAGGAAGGAGGAATGGGTAGGAAGGAGGAATGGGTAGGAAGGAAGGAGGAATGGGTAGGAAGGAAGGAAGGAGGAATGGGAAGGAAGGAAGGAGGAATGGGAAGGAAGGAAGGAAGGAGGAATGGGAAGGAAGGAAAGAAGGAAGGAGGAATGGGAAGGAAGCAAGGCTGAGGCTTTTGTAGCAGGCCCAGGTACTCACCTTCTTGCAGTCACTTAGATCTGCATCGCTCAAGCTCAGGTAAGTGCGCAGGAGATTGGCTTTCACCCCACGTGGAGGCTCAATGGTCAGCTTGGAGCCGTTCTGTAGTATGGATACTGGGAACTGGTTACTGGGCATACTGGTCAGCCAGAGGCGGAAATCCCGGTGGACCTGCAGAGCAGAGAAGGTTGTATTGTCACTCGCCAGGTCCGCACAGGAGAAATGGAGTGCAGAAACGCGGACGTACTTTATCGGGGTCAATGCTCTCTATCAGCCTCTCCAGGGAGGGCATCCAGCTGGGCGCGAGGTGGCAGTTCTGGAAGAATACCCACTGCCCTCTCTCCATGGAATTCCTCATCATGGCCTCCGCCCGAGGACCCTGCGGGAAGGAAGACAATGCCAGGGAATATCTCCGGAAATCCACGACAATAGGAAGTGATTGGTGTGACGAAAGGGAACTGACCGGGCAGCGGAGGTGTACTCACCTGTCCCTGGCCCAGAGATATGGCGCTAAGCTTCTTGGAGAACTTCATTTCTTCTGCAAACTTGTAGAGATCGGCGGCCGGGTCGGTACCAGAAGAGAGGATGAAGATGAGCGAAGTGACAGGGGAGGAGTCGCGGAATACAGCACCCAGGTCTGCTGTCTGATGGAGGAGAAGGAGGAACATGACAATAAGTATATGCACAGCAGCTGATGTCTGACGCCCCCCCCCCCCCCCCACCCCCCCCCCCGCC